ATATATATATATTCATAATGAATCACAGCAGTGGAATCAAAGACATTAGACTGTCATTACTTGTCTCTTTTTGTTTTTCTGTGTGTTAGCCTTCAGGAGGTAAACGCCACCCCAGTGAGGTTCATCACAGATCTGATATCAGAAGACTCCTGGAGCCATGTCTTCATGAACTCACTGGCACCCAGAGGCTTTGTGAAGGTCAGAGAAGACAGAAGAAGGAAAGGGAGAAATATTTGTCTTTATGTGTCTCTTCAATCGGCTGTATTTTTCTTTCATCCATAAAAGAGACATAAAATATGTTATTACATACATTTTTATACTGTTGCAGTTAAACTGTTTGAGATTCAAAGAGGAAAAGAAAAAGAAAAGAAACGCTGCATAATCTACAACATTTAATAATTTTATGATTCTTTTTCTTAACTCTTATCGTATCTCCCTATGTTTTTATTTCTTTTAATTATCCTAATTGTACAGCACCTTGGTCAACGGTTGTTGTTTTAAATGTGCTATATAAATAATTTTGACTTTAATACAATCTTACTGTCTCCATCTGTGTCTAGGTCACATCAGTGAGGATGCAGGGTTTGCTGTTGCTGCTGTTTGCCAAACAGATTCATCTTCCCTACATCAGAAACATCCAGACCACCTACACTCGGACCGGCGTGTTCGGCTACTGGGTAGGAAATTAGAATGGGAGCTCTGGTTATCCCTGAACCTTGTAGACAACCACACTGTGTGCACACCAGGAATCCCATTGGCATCAGATGCTGTAGGGTTTAAACGCACTATGAAAGGTCCATTGTGTTTGTTTAGTGGAATGTGCAGCAGCTTTGACAGAAAGAAATCACAAACAAAGAACACTGAAAGCAGTCAGAACACTGGGATAGAAAACTTGTGTCTAATCCATAATCCAGGTTAAAAGAGATACTTTTTTTTATAATTAGTCTTCTTCACAGACTGTATTTGTTCTCCTGTGTGTGTCTGTGTTAGGGTAACAAAGGAGGAGTGTCTGTGCGCTTTTCCTTCTATGGACACATGCTTTGCTTCCTCAACTGCCACCTAGCTGCTCACATGAACAACGCTTTGCAGCGCGTTGACGAGTTTGAGTACATACTGGAGACGCAAGACTTTGACATCTATGACACCCCACAAATCCGGGACCACAAGTCAGGACTCCTTTACAGAGGCACACAAATACTATGCATATATGCAACATGGGCTGCTGTGCAAGTAAAATGTGGCTCTGCGGCTTTTCCACAGGGTGGTGTTCTGGTTTGGTGATCTGAACTTCCGCATCGCAGATCACGGTTTGCACTTTCTCCGCTCATCCATCAACAGCGGCCGGCTAAATTTGCTGTGGGGCAAAGATCAGGTATTGTACTAGTGTGAGGACACACACACACACACATAATAAAACACACTTGCTCATTATTTTCATTTTCCTGCAGCTCATCATGATGAAGAAGAAGGAAGCTTTCCTGCAGGAATTTGAGGAGGGACCGTTAAATTTTAAACCTACCTACAAGTTTGACCGTAACTCCGACACCTATGACACCAGGTAACATGTTAAAAAATCTGTATGACACACACGTGATCGGCAAATTTTGTAAGCCTTATTTGTGTCCTCGTTTCCATTTTAATTTTGCACAGCACTCCAAAGACATGGTTGGGTTTACAGTAAGAATTTTTTTGTGTTTTGCATCCCCCACATTCCTTTATCAGCTTTTGCCACCACATCTTTAGTTGTAGCAAAACAAGACACGCCAAATGGAAACTCAAAGCAGCCATGGCATCTATAAACCTGATTTATAGATGAACAAGGTAGCAGCTCTTTCTCCAACTCATATCCAGAGCACTGAGGCTCTTCCCTAACAATAAACAGACTCAGGCCCCTGCAGCTCTGTGGCACCACTCTCTTCTTGCTACTCACGTCTCTCACCTGGGTGCTCCTCTCTGAATGGTTGGGGGCCTGGTTCTGGATACTAGATCTGCCTAGGTGGGTGTCTCGGTTCTGTGTATAGGATAGGCACCTTGAGGGTTACTTAGATATAACCCACATTCACAAAGTGTATGGAGACACTGGCATAAGCAACAAGATTCAAATGGGTTTTGTAAGCATTATAAGACTGATAAATGGCAGACATGTTCTGCATATTCATTAGACCAGAACTCCCTTCTGCACCCAGCACCCCACTGTTTGCACTCCTTCCTCTTTTTGTTCCTGTGTAATCCACATTTTGCTTTTCACAGCAAATTAATGTGTGCATAAGCTGTAACACCCTGTTAATGGTACTATCTGCTTAGCAGTACCATTACATGCTACTTAGCATGTAGCCTACATCCTTTCTCATATGCATGCTACACTATAGGTATAGCCTTGTACTGCATATGTATGTGTTTGGTTTGCATTCTTTAACAGCACTTATTTTTTCATAAGAATTAGTATGTAGATTTGTATGGCTAGACAAATGTAAATGTGTTAAAAGGTAAGCAATAGAGAAAAAAATTAAATTTTAGATAGAAGTTGTATAATACACAGTCATGTTCCTTTTGCTCGGCGTGGAGCACCCATAATTTCGATGTAGATATACAATGACAATAAAGGGCTATTTTATTCTGTTCTTCTATTCTATTCTCAGTGGAAAGAAGAGGAAGCCGGCATGGACAGACCGGATCCTCTGGCGGATCAAACCCAAGCCCCTGCCATCAGAGGAAGATGATGAGAAGGCATCAACTTCCACAGATGAAGAACAGGATGAGTATCCAGTCCTGGTCACCCAGGATAAATACACCAGTGACATGAGCTATGGAGTCAGCGACCACAAGCCTGTCATTGCAACCTTCAGCCTGGAGGTGAGAGCAGATGCACTGCATCGACCTCTGCTTTTTCAAACGTTCTTTAAAAATATTTTCTTTTCTCTTATCTTTCCCGCAGCTGAGAAAAGTCTTTGACACACCACTGGTGCGCGTGTCTCCTGTGGGCATATGGAGCGCAGGCCAGGATGCACTTTTGACCTACTCTGTCCTGGAGGACTTTATGTCTTCTACGTGGGACTGGATCGGCCTGTACAAGGTACTAGGACTCATGTAAAGACAACAAAAATAAATAAATAAGTCATTTAAACCTTATATATTATAATTGTGTGGATTTGGACTGACTTTCTTGCGCTTCAGGTGGGATTTAAGACTGCATCTGACTACGAAACCTTTGTTTGGGTTCGAGAAAATGAACTGCCAGAGATAAATGAAGTCATACAGGTAAAGTAGAAGTGCAGTGTTTATGTCATATTAACAAATTCTTTATGAATGCATTATTCATTAACATGCACACATGTGTTGTTGCAGATTTCTGTGGATAAAGGTCAGATTCCTCTGTTAGGTGGACAGTACGTTTTGGGGTACTACAGCACAAACATGCAAAGCATCACTGGCCTCAGTGATACCTTCCAGGTAACTGCTTCACTATCATATCTGTAGTTTTATAGTTAGATATTTTTTTCAACTCTTAAACATACAATTTAATGCATCCACGAAAGACTATTTAAATGTAGAATTTTGTTAATACAGGTGTACCTACATAAGAGATTACTGAGTGCATGCTCTGTGTTTGGAGAAGGAAGCAAGCATGGCAGTGTGCTTTATTTTGCACTCTCTTTGGTTCTTACAGATCCTGGAGTCTAAGCGTGCTGTCATGGAAGGCCTGGTTCCCGAGGATATCAATGGAGTCAACAAATAAGAACAGATTCTCTGTAGTGCCACGTCTTATTCCTCTCCGCTGCAAAGTCACACAGATCTGAATCAGGCTATAAAATTGCCCCAAGGTTAACTCCTTAATCTACTGGATGAGCAGACTCTGTCATTCATGTTGGCCCCCACAATTTGTCATCATGTAAACTCCAGTTTGTTATTTCCTACTTTGCCTTTAAGGTTCAGGCTCACTCTTGCTGAAACAAGATCTCTAATAAAAAAAACTTTAATGAGTAGCCTCAGTCTATCCACAGACCCTGTTAGAGCAGATATACGGAGAACACATGTCAAACTGCACAGCAGCTTGAAAACAGAAACTGCATTTGAGTTTTGTTTCAAAGTTGTTTGTTTCGGCAGCTCATAGTAGCCAGTGCAGATTAATACAAAAGGTGCAAAACATCATTGCGTAGAAGAGTGTGCTCTTTTGTTTTATATGTGCTGTCTCAGTGAAGAACGATGCACCCTGCAACTGAAATTTCTTGCAATGGGTTGTCTGCAGAAACTGTTGAACATGAGAATCTTAGAGAGGAACATGACACAGAAAAATATCATCCAACGGTCAGCTGGTTGATCCAATGAACGATGCAGCAACCTGTAGGATGTGTGCAAATGAACAAGTGGCAGGGAGGTGCTGGGAAAATGTATGTGTGATCGCAGTGGCTTATCTTTAAAATGTGAATGCAGGTTGTCTGTTTTCCTCTTGATGAAAATGTGTTATATCTCCCACACTGCATGCATGAATCGTATCAGCACACTAAAAATATACTGCAAGACAAACTAAATATTTTTTGTGAATTTGTTTATTTAAAAAGATCCAGTATGTTTTCAGGATATGGATGTGTGACTAATCAGTGAAAAAAGATGGGCAGTGGGTCACTTTAATTATCAGTGATTAAAGGCCTGGAGGCTTGTAATCTGAGAGTGATCGTATTATTTTGCACTAACTCATATGCAAAGTCAAATTTGCTTTAACCAACAAAGCAATAGTAATAAGCACAACAGTGATTATGGTGATATTGTCCCGAGTGTACTCCAAAGAAAACATGGAACTGTCTACTCTCTGCATTGATAGATAACATATAGAACTGTAGGATACCCATTTATGGCCATCTGAGTGTCATTAAAGATTTTATATATACATCATAGGTAGTAAAATTGGATAAGCTATTTCTCTTAGTATCTAATAAGCCAATCACAAGGCAGCAACTCAGTGCATTTAGGCATGTGGAAATAATCAAGATAGCCTTTTGAATTTCAAACTGATCATCAGAATGGAGAGGAAAGGTGATTTAAGTGACTTCGAATGTGGCATGATTGTTGGTGCAAGACTTGCTGATAGTCTGTCCAAAAATATTTATCTAGTGCAATTTTCCCACAAAACCTTCTCTAGGGTTTACAGAAAATGGTCCAGACAAGAGAAAATATCCAGTGAGCAGCAATTGTTTGTGTGAAAATGTCTTGTTGATGGCAGATGTCAGAGGAGAATGACCAGAAACTAGTAATTAAAAAAACAAACAAACAAAAAAAACCCTAGTTAAAACCAATGTATACATAATAGCATCTCTGAACACACGTCAAATCTTGAAACAGACAGGCTACAGCAGCAGAAGACCACACTGGAAAACTAAAGCTGCAGTTTGCACAGCCTGACCAAAATTGGAAAGTCAGACTGGTGTCTTGAACTTGATGATGAGTTCCGTGTTCTCAAAAGGCCTCCACAGCCACCAGATCTCAATCCAGCAGTATAACTTTGGATACAGAAGATTCACATCATAAATACAATAATAATAATAATAATAATAATAATAACACTGTGCCTCACCAGCTGAATTATACTGATACACTTTTCCAACTATAAGTTACACTAATTCACATAGTTTGGTACTGAAAAACTGAAACACCCATATCTCTCTTAAGTTATTGCAGTGCAAGCTCAGTTTTACTACTAGGATCACCTTGCTTTAGTGATTCTGTAATTTGACTGCCATGGTAAACCAGCATTACTTAGGAGGCCAGTGAGTGGACGGATAGTCTTATTCAGGTCAGATTTTGGGAGGTACCCATCTTACCTTGCAAAACTGAAAAGAGGTCATTCATCAAACTGTGCAGCTAGTTTTAAAAGCATGAGCCTACTCGAAAAGTGCACAACAAATGGAAATCTGTTGAGGACATCCTGCACTTACAGTCAGCTCCCCTAGTGTGTGGTGAGTTCATTGATCCACGTCTGCACCTGGAGATAATGTCTCTCCTGTTTGTTTCCTGCTTTGCATTTGCAGTTTAACACACAGATGCTTTTCTACTGTCTCAAATCCTGGCTACATTTCTCCGAGTCTACACTACGTGTATAGTTGTAATTATGCATAAGGTGTGGGAGTGCGAGCATATTTTTTCATTTATTTATTTAAACTGAATAAATATGAATATTTTTCTGTTCATTTTTTATATATCTAAATAAATATGGAATAAAATATGGAATAAAAAGTTTGAGAAAATTTGAGTAAATGCCCCCCTGTTAAAGTTAGTTTCCTGTCCAGTTCATAAGATAGGACATTTAAGAAAGCTCGATCTTACAGAGACGTTATGAAAGTAAAGATGACTGGACTCCGTCTATCGAGAAGGAAGGAGCACGGCTACTTCCCATAATTCATTGCGCGAACCCGTTAACTGACGTGATCTTCGACGACTTCTTTACATGCCTTTCATTTAAAGGCTCTGTGGTGGTACACACGTGGGAATCTTTATCTCGTCGCTACCGCTCTAAAGGTAAGGATTTAGCACAGTTATTTTACAATGTAATGTCGTATAAACCCGGACGGAGTTGTGCAAACAAGTTACAGTTATCTTACTGGCCTGGGCTCGGCTATGAAAGGATATAGATTGTTAAACTGTTGGCTAACGGCAAGCTAGCTCGGTTAGCTTGACAGACTGAAGTCAGCTAGCAAAACAGTAAACCAAAGCAAATTTTCAGGTAGGATAATTCAGTTGAAGTTTTCGTAATAACTTTTTAAAATGGCTCTGCAACATGTTACCTGTTGCTTCGTTTGTTTAAATTAACTTGAATGAACTGATGTTAGACATTGTCTCGTTGACTTTAGCTAGCTGAATAACTGAGTAGTGCTTTGTAATTAAACCACGTTTAGGGCGATGCACAGCAATATCAGTGTATGTTAGTAATGCATCACCACTAAGACTTCCACATTTTGAAGCATTGTTTGCCCGTTGTCTATCTGCATTTGGTATTTCTAATGTTATTGTATTTTTGTAGAAATGTTAAACATTTTTTAAAATATGGTCTCTTTACAGGTGGACCTGAAGCAGACATGTCGAGTGAGGACGTGGAGCGGCTTTTGATACAGTTTCAGGACGAGAATGGGGAGATCCTGGGTTCACCTTTCGATGTGCCTTTAGACATTACCCAAGACAAACTACAGCTCGTCTGCAATGCATTGCTTCAGAAGGTACAACATAAGTATACAGTGTTTTGTGTAAATGTATAGCCCAGATTGAAATAATCAAATATGATGGTCATGATATCAATTTTGAATTGAATATCTAGTAAACATGCTCTTTCCTTTTTCTTTTTTTTTTTTGCTGTCATCCACTCTAGGAGGAGCCAGTCCCGCTGGCATTCTTTGTGCAAGGGGAGATGGAGGTGGTGTCCAGCCTGGGGACATGCGTTAAGGCTCTTGGGGTTGAAACCGAACAAGTTCTGCCTGTGGTGTACCAGCCTCAAGCTCTGTTCAGGGTTCGGGCTGTGACACGCTGCACCAGCACACTGCAGGGACACACTGAGGCCGTCATCTCAGTCGCTTTCAGCCCCACTGGCAAGTGGGTACCTTTGACACAAAGTGAACAGATGTCAGCTTTTCTCTGCCAGTTTGTCATAATCTCTTGTACCTTTTGGGTCGGAGTTGTGTAACAGTATATGAAAATGGAATTATGTTGTGACATCACACCTCTAATTAGATTTAAACATTGATCCATTTGTCTGTTTTTGTTTCAGATATCTGGCCAGTGGTTCAGGCGACACCACAGTGCGCTTCTGGGACTTGACAACTGAGACGCCCCACCACACATCCAGGGGTATAAAATAACATCTACAAGGCAGCATGATCTGATAATCATTGAACTTCAAGTGACTGATTGCTTTAATACACCATTGGTCATTTTAGGACACACACACTGGGTATTGAGCATCGCCTGGTCACCTGATGGAAAGAAGCTGGCTTCAGGATGCAAGAACAGTCAGGTGTGCTTCAAAAACAAACACACATGATCCATAATTAGGTTTCAAAGATGCATTCATTAAACCTTTCTATTTTTCTCTTTCTCTAGATATGTCTGTGGGATCCAGTGACGGGTGCGCAGATGGGGAGGACTTTGACAGGACACACCAAATGGATCACTTGGCTCTGCTGGGAACCTCTTCATCTGTGAGCACTCGATCGATTTTACACTTCCCTGAATTTCTGTGTTATTTGACTGCAGACCTCTCATTCAGACCCATTTTATATACGAAACTTTAAAAAATGTACAGTACTTTTACTCCTTTCTAAAAATTGAGTTTTTTAGGGAAAAAAATAGTCTTTTGCTCTTCACATGGATCTGCATGCAGATAAATCCTGTGATTTGTGAACTACAGCTGGACTACAAATAAAAGCGAAACGACTTAAGCTACCAAAAATCTCTTCCCTTGCCTGATAATCTGTAAAAATGTGTTTATAGAGATGGCAGTTAGTTGCATAGCAATTACAAAAACGCTCCACTGAAATATTGCACTGTGAAATGAAACTGTAACATATGAATTCTGTTTCATAAGAAGCCAAACTTAATTTGAAAGCATTTTGTAATTTCCAGTTATACAAACGATATTGTAGATCAGCCTTGGACTCTTAAGTTATTCAGGAAGAGGCACATCCTTTGAGTCCGGCAGCCAATATATGTTCAGATATATCTAAACTACTTATTCAACAGCAGGATGGAGAGAGTGTCTGTTTTTTAGGCTGCTAGAAAAACAATACTGTGTTGGAAATGTGCTGTAATTGTCAGAGTAGTTTTGGCAAACAAATAAATCACAAGGTTTTCAGAAATGCCTTAAAGTTACAGACACAAGAAGTTAGTTTCCCTTAAATGTGAAGTCACTACATTGCAACTGTGCAGGTATTGATTATAATTTGATTATCATGTTGAACTAACTTAAACTTTGTGGTCTTATAGTTGTTTTAATTCTTATCCCTTTCAGTAATCCAGAGTGTCGGTACTTGGCCAGCAGCTCTAAGGACGGCTCAATACGTATCTGGGACACAGTGCTGGGACGATGTGAGAAGATCCTGACTGGGCACACTCAGTCAGTGACATGTGTGAAATGGGGAGGAGATGGACTTCTGTACACTTCATCCCAGGACAGGACTGTCAAAGTGTGGAGAGCAAAAGATGTAAGTGTGTGTGTGAAATATATGGTATTAAAGGGTTATAATAGCGATATGGTATGTTTCTTTTTCATTAATATGTTAAACAATATTGGTGTGTATTCTTGTGCATGAAACATGAGTAGTCCAGTCCACTGTTTTTATTTAGTTATTGTTTTTCTTTTGTTTGTTTGTTTTTGTTCCTTGTGCATAAAGAATGTAGGCTAATAATGCTAATATAGACAAATGTTATGGCATCAGAAACATTTTCACCCATAGAGCTGCTGCTGCCAGCTGTGTGGGGAAAATCCCAGCAGATCTGCAGTTTCTGAAATACTTAGATCGGCTCATTTGGCACCAATGACCACCTTCAAAGTCACCTTTCTTCCCCCTTATGATGTTTGTTTTTAACTTCAGCAGGTCGTTCTGGCCATGACTTCACATCTAAATGCCTAAACCCATTGAGTTGCTGCTGTGAAGTTGATGAGATATTTGTGGTAACAAGCAGTTG